GGAGACCTTCCTTCTCATCGGTGACAGCCGCAAGTTGAAGGTGGAATGTGGGGTGTTTTGAGGCGGTCGATCCGGTTTTCTACGGCAAGGAAGATGTGCTGGTGACGATGGAGGACACGGGGGTCGTGCCTGGTCTTGGAATTGTTCTCGCCCCCCTCAACAGCATCCAGGAGACACGGCATTTTCATCAATCGCTCTGGCGCTCGGGCTCACAACCGGCGCGTGCATTTTGAAGAGCTCCCCATTGGGTGCGCGCGGCGCCCCACCTCCTGCAATGGTGGTGGCGATGATGCGCCCAGCCAGCCACGGAGCATCAACGACTTGCACTTTTCTCTAGACCACACCAACGATGCGAATGCGTGCGGGAAACCGCATAGCAGCTGGGGATTCAGGTTATCGGTACTCGAGGATGGTTGACAAGAGCCGCCACTTCGTGCCACTCCTTTCTCACGTCGCACAAAGATGTCAAGCAATCGACGGCGACCTACGGTGAGTTGGGGATTGCTGGTTTTGACAGCGGTAACGATATCACCTACAGCATTGGCTGGTTGAGCTAGGGGTTGCGGTCGAGTTCACTTTCGTCGATGGTTCAAAGCGCAACGGTCGCCTGGAGCGGAAGATCGCGCTTGTCCCTGAACGAGCCAAGGCGGCGTCGTTGGAGTACTCGCGGCATTTCCCGGATTTGGAGTTCCCGGAAGGTGATGGAGTGGACGACGATCTGGCCGCAGTCGTTTGCTTGGATGAATGACTCGTTCAACAAGACGGCGGAGGCTCACATGCCTGGCAAGCTCTGCCCGGGGGAGCAACTCTACAAGCGATGTGCCGCGACTCTTCCTTTCCCGTTCATGATCCCGGGCTTTCGACACCGAAACCTTAAGGCCAAGGCCGGGTCGAGGGGGAGAGATGCTCATTCGTCAACACCGCCAACAACCTCTCGTACACTACCCACAACGTCTTCTCCTCAGGGATCTGCGGCTATTCACTTGGGGATATCGTTGGGTGCCCTTCGTGGGAGAGGTGCCAGGGAGGCAGTGATGGATGTGACGGAACCTTCAAGAACGCTGGCGATACCGGCTGGAGCGGCAGCATCGGCAACGGCACCGGCGGCGAGAGCGGGGGCCACGGGCGGGACGCAGGAACCGGTGCACCGAGCGGCGGCATCGGTAGTGGAGGCGGTGACGACACAGCGGTTCCCGTGACGGTGGTGACTGAGGTGGACAGGGGCGTCCGCACACCTTGAGCCATATCTGCAGACGGTGGTACAGCGTTGGTACGAGGTGACGCCTGCGGTCACGCGGTCGAGGTCGCGTTGAACTGGGGAGATTACTGCAGCCCCATGCGGTGTAGTGTGCTGAGAAGCACGATGACCACTGGACCACCAGTCAGCGCGGACTGATATGCGTTTTATTACAGAGCGGGTTGCTGTCTTGGCTGTTGTCGTCAACGTAGATGACAGATTTCCCACTGGGCGGAAGGATCGGTTTGAGCAGTTGGGTAGCTAAGCACGTTCCATCACCAACCTTGGGAGACTTCAATTGTCGCAGGGACGCCACTCATTCTCAACAGACGTACGTATGCCGCAAAGCATTCTCCCCAAGTTTGGTGTCGCCTCTCACGAAGAAATCTATGGCCGTTGGTGTGAATCTTAAAGGAGAGTTTGATCCGTGTGGACCAGACGTTGAAAAGCCGTATCGTTCGTTGGTGGGGCACTTGATGTGGCTTGCGAATCTAACTCGCCCGGATATCGTAACTTTGTCATGAATATTTGATGGCCTCCAGCTTGGCTCTCAGCGACATGTATGTACACAACACGCTTGGACACTATGAACACAACTATGCAAGAGTAACGGTGCGCCAGGCAGCTATGTAAGGAAATCCGTGGCCCCGAGTGATACAGTAGTCGGGAAGTCCATGCAACGTACACCATGTCATAAGTTCACATTTTTACAAGCGGCAAACTGCAGCGTGGTTGCAGCTGCAGCCAACACATGCATCCTTACCACGAATGTCGCCCCCACGTCATCAGCTCGCCAAGCTCCCGCCCATCTCTCGCCGCTGGCTGTGGCCACAACGGCACTACAGTAAACGCGGCCCAACAACAGATTTGTTCTCTCCGACCGGCAGCACAATACCGGACGAACTTCTGTTTTTTGTCTAGAGAAAGTTTTTTTTTTTTCAAAATATGACCCAACGAATCCATCTCCATGCAAAGAGTCTAAGATAGATTAGCAATGAATCCGTAGCGTCAGCGAAGGCTACCAGTATTTCCACGATTTCCCGAGCAGGGGCGAACACGGAAGGTCCGCCGAGGCGAGGCAGCGAGGCAGCGAGGCAAGGGATGCTTTATCATAGTTTCGTGGTGTGACTGCATGGACTGCGCGGAGATTCGAACCCATATGTCCCCGGTGGTTCGCAAACACACCCAACGGTCAAGATCGGGCGTGTGGCAACAGACCACCACCACAGCCGTGCGTACCATTCGGGTCGGTCGTGGGCGAGACGCACTGCCACCTCGCCACCTCGAGCACATCGGTGCACGCCAATCTACGTAGCACACATCAGCGGTACGCTGACCTGACATCAACCGTAGTTACAAGATCGCGGTGACAGCGGAAGGAAGGCGAAGGCGAGAACCGGGTTGGCACGCGCGCGACCGTCATCGTTCTTCCCCGAGGCCTAGGCAACAAATAAATACACACCCGCCGCTGGGCTGGGCATCGGCGTCTGCACTGCACGTTGACACCACTGTGCCGTTGTCTTCCTTCAAAAAAAGGTGCTTGCTTCTGGATGGCGATGACTTCACACCCACACTCTCTCGACGGAGAAGTTCGGAAACTTATACGCAGGCGCTACAGCCAGTAGTACGCTTTAACATTCTCCCGTATGAGTGCAGCACACACAAGACCACACCCCCGTTTCGATTCTGTTCTCCAAACTACAAAATACACGTCGTTCCGACTTCCACACACACCAGCAGCTGATGCGGACGCGGACGCCTTCCGCCGTGGAAATCACGTGCAGTATAAATTGGAAAGTCACAGTAGTATTACATAGACCGGCAGTGGTTGTTGTGGTGTCGAGCTGTGAACGCCTTTGGCTGAGAGTCGCTTTTGCTGAGCGCGTGCTGTTCCAAAACTGAACCATTGGTTGCGGTGAGAGTGTGCCTTGCGAAAATAATCCACAACTGCAACGAAGCGCTGTCATCCTCGCCGTTTCGCGCCATTCCCACGGTACAGAATGAAGCTGGCTGGGAGTTACTGCTTCCTGTGGGCTCTGTGCGTATTCCTTGCAGACCACCTCGCTTTCGCTCAACCTACTGGTGGCCGGGTACCATCAGCACCTCGCCATGGCCTGGCAAGGTTCGCTGAGGAGGAGGTCAAGGACACGGGCGTCGCACATGTACATGCGATCCCCGAAGACGAACATCACGTTGAAGAAGAGCTGGTTGAGGTGCTCGAGACCGATGAGCTGACCACTGGTGAGACAAGTCCTTGGGACAAGCATAGAATGCTTACGGGTAAGACTTACATGGCGATTGGAGAATTCACACGCAAAACAAATTTGGCACCAACGGCACGACGGGTGTACCAGATGTAAACTACTTTATGATGAAGTCTACTATAAATATGATACAAATTCCACCCCCAGAATTTCCCGGAATTTTCCCCAAAGCGGCAGATATTTTTATTTGCCCCTCGTCGACAACATATAATTAGTACAACGTCCTACATACACCAGGTAGGTATTTGTAGGACACACAACACTTGGTTCATACTCGAGGGCGGTCCAAATGCGTTCGACTCCGTTGTTGAGTTTGTCACCTGCCAACTTGTTTGTGTGGGTTTTCTGTAGATAGAGTACTTGTCAGTGCACTTTTTCATACTGCTACTGCTGTACACCCATCCAGGGTCAGGTAATCACCGGGGGCATTTTTATTTTATTTTATTTTTTTATATGTTTGTGCCCGACCTTCCTCCTGCGGCGCGTGCTGATTTTTTTTGTCTTTGTCGCGAGAAGGGTCCAGCCGTCCCTTTCCCTCGTCAACGGTGCTAGCAACGTCGAAGTTTGGACTCACGAGCATTTCAGCTTTTTTCGCTTTCACCCGCATACAAAACGGGCCCGCAATTTAGAAAAGTTCTGTGAAGAAAAATTAGCTCAACCTTTAACGAAAATAAGAAAACAGGGTTAAGAAACTCAGCTCAATCTCGACCACAACATAACAAACGTCCCAACAAGAAACATGATCGAGCGAAACCCCCAGATATAAGAAACAAGAGGGGTTGCTGGGGGAGCGCGTCCAATAAGCAACGTCCCACTGATGATGCTGCTGCAGCCATGCTCCCGACCCCTACCTAGCTCATGTAATAATTATTGGTAGTGTGTGTGGGGGGGTGTACTCATAGTCGTGCATGCCGTAGTCGTTAGACCATTGACCTCGCATCCCTACAAAGCCGGGACGGAGCACGCCGGGTTCTCACCGGACCAGGCTCACATCACCAAGCGCGAAGCGCCGTGAGGTATTTGGCGAGTCGTGAAGGGTGAGCTGCATCCTGCTAAGGGTGTTCGGCATCTTGTGCTTACTTCCTTGCATACGGATGACAGCTACGTATGACTTAATTTATTTTCTGGTGTTTTCACTTCCAGAGACAGTTGTTCGCACTGTGTAACTGCCTCGAGGATGCTTAACCATATTAACACAACGTGGTGCGATCATCCCCCTTGCGCGGAGTGAGGGTTCTCCACCCCGCACAACATGATCTACTCGACCACCATTATGGTTACCGCGAAAAAAAAAACGAGGTAAAAAAAAGAACGGTAACCTGGTTGCCGAGTTCACGAAGAATTGGCTTGTTTTACAACGTCGTTGCTAAGCGACGAAAACCCAACCCCGATGGCAAACACCGGGGGGGGCGGCTTGTTTTTCAACGTCGTTGCCAAGCGACGAAAACCCAAACCCCGATGGCAAACAAGGCCGAGGGGGGGGGGGAAATGTGTGTGGGGGGGGGGCGTACTCCTATGTTTTGCATGGCCTTAGCGGTTACACCATTGACCACGCGTCCTCGAGAGGACGGAGCATTGTTCCCACAGGACCGATCACCGATGGCCCATCGTTCCTTCCTACTTTGCCAAAGGTGGTTCAAAAATGTCTTCCCTAGTATGTCTATCCTAACGATATCCCTTCCCGCCTTTTCAAACCACTTCCTACTCCCCAGTACAGCTACCGTCCTCTCCTCTCTATTCCATGCCTCAAACATCTCCCTGTACGTCCCTTGTATTTTTCCCAGCTCAGTCATGTACACTTCCCTCTCCTCTTCGTACCACGGACATTCCGCGACTACATGAACACGTTCTTCGCATTCGAAGCCGCAATCGCATTTGAACTTGTCGTCTTCGTCGTCTACCGTCCTATGTCTTCGTCGACGTTCTCGAAGGCCTATGTCCCCGGTCCTGACTTTGACCTTAAGCTTTGTCCCTGCATCCATTGGTCCATGTAGGTAATCCTTGAACCCTATTCCTTCTTTCAACATTCCGTACGCTTCTAGACCCTCCTTATCCTTGGTTTCTTTCCTTAGATTCTGTTCTTCTCTCTCGGCACAAGCAACAGATATCTTCTCCTTGAACCCCTGTAGACCCTCCGTTTCCAGCGTTTCATCTTCGTCGATGTCTAACCCCTTCCAAACTCCTCTACAACCTTGACCCATTCCGTGGGTTGTCTACCCCTCTTTTTGTCTGCCCACTTCGCCTCCCATACTATTCTCGGCAACCTCTCCTCTCCCATCCCGCACATGCGATACTGCCATGTCAGCTTCCTTGCGTCTCTTCCCGACCGTAGGGATTGGATCCCCAATTCTGCCCTTACGGCTGCATTACTTGTGCGCTTGGAGCATCCTAGGATGATTTTCGCTCCTTTCATCTGCGCCGCCTCGAGTTCTTTCACTACCTTCTTATTTCCTTCCCATGCTTCTCCGGCGTACTCTAGCGGCGATACGATTACGCTCTTCAAAACCGCCAATTTGATGCGTGTATCGAGGTGCCGGTTTGCGAGTATTGGGTGCAGCTTCCCTGCTTGTGCTTTGCCCTTTTCCGCTACCTTGGACATGTGTGCATTCCACAAGCAGTCGTTTGCGATCTCTACTCCGAGGTATGTGTACTGGTCCACTACCGCTACCTCCTCGACCCCCCACTTCCATCTATGTCCTACTGGTTCCTCCCTGACCTCGTTGCACACCATGACGGCACTCTTCTTAACGTTGGCAGACAATCTCCATATGTCAGTAAACTTCTTCGCCGCGACAATCTGTAGTTGCAGTCCCTCAGGGGTGTCCGACATACCAACAAAGTCATCCGCAAACAGCATTCCTGACACCGAAGTTTCCGTGTCCCCTACTATTACTCCCTTCCGGACTGCCTCTACGACTTCCAACAGATCGTTGATGAACACCTGGAACAATGTTGGGGACAGCGTGCAACCTTGTGGGACCCCCTGCTCAATGTCGAAGAACTTAGACAGTTCTCCGTCTAGCATGACCGCACTTTTCGTACACTCTGTCATCTTCTTCAGCACCCTCCACATTTTCCCCTTGATCCCGTACTTGGACAATTGTTTCCACAGCCCATTTCTCCATACGGTATCGTATGCCTTTTTCACGTTCAGGAAGAAGCAGTACGTCGGCTTTCCCGCCCCCTTTCTTCCTTGGACGATTCTCCCTGCCGTGAATGCGTGGTCTACGCACCCCCTCTTCTGTCGGAAACCTGCCTGGCCCTCACTAATGCTACGTTCCTTCTCCAATACTCCCACTATCCTATCGTTCAGCAGCTTACAAAACACTTTTCCTACTGTGTTCAACAGTGCGATACCCCTGTAGTTTCCTGGGTCAGTCTTGTCTCCTTTCTTAAACAAGTTCACAACCACTCCTTCCCTCCATCTACTTGGCCCATACTCGTTAATCCACACCCAGTTGTACAGCAGTACCATCAACTGGATCATCCCTTTCCCCCCAAACTTCATGAACTCGTTGACTATACAGAACAGGCCCGCCGACAAGAAATATTTCATTAAAAAAATGAGACCAACATTTTCACGTAAATGCAGAAAATAGGGTAAATAAACAGTTTTTTTTTTTTTTCTTCGCTTCAAATCAGCGCTCACAGCACTAGTGCCGTTTACTCCAACCCGTGGTCACACAGAAGAGCCCCTCTCTACCCTCCCCTCCTGCGGTACTTTGCCTTCGATTTTTAATGCGAGAAGAGTTCAGCACTCTCTTCCCTCTGTGTACACACGAACTAGCGCTATCCACTAGGCCAGAAGCGGAAGCGAGAGAAAAACTCACTATTGCAAGAAAAGCTCGCTTTCGCCGGGATTCGAACTCCTGACCTGATCTCTAGAAGGTTTCGAGGATACCCAACTAGACCACCGGGGCGACCGGCAGAACATTACGCAGACGTGGTTCCTACACTAACCTCCGCAAAACAACCAATTCTCGATATTGGCGACCAAAGAAAATTAGACTCGACCTGATTTTGTTTCTTGTCTCTGGCCTCGTTCTGTACAACGTTTGCAACTTTTTTTCATGTACAGTACGTGGTACCATGGTTCGTTCTCTGAAGCCCCCCGCGGGGGTTTCTTTACCCTTCTGGTTTGTCTTTTCAGCTGGCACGACCGCATGTACGTATGAAACTCATAGCCTACTACCCTCCGATTGTAAGACTGGTTGTTTCGCGCAACGGCTTGCCCTGCTCCAACCTCCGGCTCATTGCTGTTTCGGATCCCTCCTCCGCCTCCGTATTTGCATCGCAATCTGCTTTCAGTTGTGGGAGACATCGAGCTTGGTGAGTTGCTATGTGACAGCCTTGAGGATGCTGCGGACTCTAGCCTGCTGCGATTCACGATCAGCTCTACCGAGGTGAGGTCCGGGGGACAAGCACCCGCCGCTTGTTGGCAGATGATGAACGAGCAGCAGGTGTTGTGCCTTGCACAACTGTTGGTGACATGAGACTATGGAGGAATCGAGACAGCGAAGGGAACAATCCTTTCTGATGTGCAGCAGGACTCAACTGCCTTAACATGGAACATCCTGGCAAAAGATGGTTAACGGCCTCGTCCACAGCACACGAATGGTTTTCGCACCCTAGCTGGTGCTGCACGCCCTGCAGCCGTCCATGGAATATCACATTGGGTGTGTAGGGAGTGTAACGCCGTACATACCCTTCTTGAAACACCGGAACCGTCGCCGAATGCTTCGCCGTTGCAAAACCGATTTTGTCGGTCACGTTGCAGACGGTGATAGCTGAGCGCACCTCCTACTCGTCTATCGACGGCAGCGTTCTATCGGACGGCATCACGCGCATGGTGAGTCCACCAAGCATTGCGGAGGGTGTACTCACGTACACGCATGCCGTAGTCGCTAGACCATTGACCTCGCATCACTCCAATGCCGTGACGGAGCGATATGCCGGGGGTTTTCTCCGGCCCAGGCTACGTTTCCCGGATTCCGGCTAACCAAACATTTCACATTCGGCAGGCACGGCTTCACTTCAAGCTGCAAAGGACTTTGGTATTAATTACACAGTTGGGGGCGGGGAGGGGGGTCCACATACCAGTGATACATTTTCGACTTCGTAGCGTATGAGCCAAATCGGAGTAGATAGTAAATTCGAAATGTTCGCATCGAACAGTAACCCTGACCCTCCCCGTACTTCGCCCAAGCACAACACATGCATACGTTGCTGAAGGTATATTGTGGAACCACATGCTGGACTTTGGTCCATGAAGATCGTCTCCTTTGTACTGAGCCAAGTCGCGATAGTTATCAACAGCAGGACGGCATCGCCCACATGGCATCGTGCCACCACACATAAACTGCGGTTCACTGTACACGCTACATAGGGTCAGCTGTCCCGTGTCCTGTCCGAGAATGTAACTGAATACCATAGGCACGGGATGAGCTGGCTGGCGATGGATCGCACGGTCCTTTTCCAGGCAGAATAGGGCGACAAGCCATTCGAAGTCGACTACAGGCGACACAACCTTGTCCATCGAGCATGTTCTCTCTAGCCTTAATAGTACCAGGGTCTTCATCACTTACTTGCCATCGTGCGTCTCTTACCTGCAACTCGTGCGCATCTCCAATGTCCTGTGACGGGCCTGTCCGTGGCTAGACCTGGCTGGGAGAAGTCGTCGATCCCGAACCCTCCGCCAATTCCATCCCCAGGACTGTCAGTATGACGTGGGCCGACCCATGTGACATTGAGGTAGGAGCCGTGGTGCAGCGTAGCTCAACGCCACCGGATACGATAACTTCTTACGCAGAACGGCGCCATGCTAGTAGCCGACTGCGCGGCCTTGGACGGCCTTGGTAAACTGTAGTCGATGGCCGCACAGGCTAGCAGGCATCGCACCTGGTGTATGAAATGGGCACCAGTGTATGGAGGTTGTGTCGTGGCTATATATTGTCCGTCCTACATGACACAACCTGTACCGAGCATAATCCGGGTAGAGTTGCAAGGTTGCCGCAGTTCCCTGTGTCTGATGTCGCTGCCGTGTTGTTACCGGACTGTTCCATTCCGATGCGTCCTCAGAGCTTCCTCCTGAAGCTGGTGTCACGAAACGCAGACGGCAGCACCTCTATCGTCACATCCGTACCGTGCTCCGCCGGATCCAGCAGCGAACTTTGCATGGTGGAGGTGAGTGGGTTGTCGCTGCTTGGACTTGGAGTTCGTCAACGCAGATGTGCTTCTGTTATATGTGGACCTAATTGTGGCCACGACTTGATCAGAGAAGGGAAATGTGGCTGTCTCACTTGGACGAACAGTTGACGGCGATAAACAAGACCAGTGCAGGTGCGTCACATGTGCATGCCGTAGTTTCAGGGGGGCCGTTGCCCGAGTTGCGAAGCCCGATGTTCTGCTGAACGAAACGAGAAGGGATGGAACGATTCCTTTTCTGCTCTTGCGCTGGTCTCAGGGATTGCGGACATTGGAATAAACGTTCGAAGCAGTTGGACGTGAGTGGCAGGTAGAACGTCCTTATGTACCTATAATCAGGGACTGCTTTTCTCTTGCTCGCACACAATACGCACAGCTCGAAATGTTCTTTCACGACGAAAGTGAGGCTGTGGACACCACACAATCCTCTTCGTCAAGCTCCAGTTCGAAGGACCAGGGCTCTCGGATGCTGAAGGTGAGTTGAGATAATGCACGGCACGAGAAAGCTAGCTTTGTCCTCGGACACCTGACGGGCATCACAAAGCCTATAAGTCCTTTGATCTTGCGCACCAGGTGGCCATCGTAAGAACCCCATGCATTGTGAGTGCAGTATCTTCAAAACTACGATGCGTGTGTCGATATACCTTCATCAAACATCCCGGGGGAGTTCTCCTCGAGGACTTTGCGTACTGCGCCCTGCTATCCCGCTTCCCACGCCCAAATGCTCAGTTGCTCTTCGCCCTGCTTCGTGTCTACGCCGTGAATCGCTGTCGACGCATTCCTTTTATTTCGTGCCAGGAACAACGTGTGTCGATGACCTATACGGAGGAGGAGTCGCTTCGGTCGCAAGGCCTACCAAGCGACCGCAGCCTGCAGGCCACAACGGTGGTATGCTCTTCAACCCGTGTGCCAAGCGTAGATCTAGAAGAGTCGAAGTGAAGCTAATTTGTTGACGAAAAGTCTCTCCCCGCGACAGATACCGGCAGTCGCTCACGTGGGCGTGAGCGGGTGCAGCTGTATGTACGTGCCTATTCAGATACTCGAAAGCTGATAGGCTTCACATTCCAAAACCTAGCGCGTTACGATCACGAAAACTACCGCAGGCCGAACCAATCCGACCCAACGTCATCGTATGTAGTTGCGAGCGGAGAAGATCCTCGTCCATCATCCTACTAGTCAAGAAAAGCTGTGTGTGCGTCTATGTCTTCGTTCATTAGAAAGCTAACGATTTTTTACGAACACGCTGCCGATAACGCTCGGTCAAAGCACACCCACGCGGGAAGAGCGAACAATTTACGTTCGAGCGATATGAACTTCATCGAAGAGCAAGTACAGACCTGGAACAATAAGTAATGCATCCACGTAACGTCAAGGCAAACATATGCACTCAATAGTGTAGTCATGGGGATCTGTTTTGAGGCCCCTTTCGAATTTCTGAAGACCAAGGGTGAAAAGCCAATATTGGCAGTCTTTCAACAACCTCAATAGTCGTAAAATCACGGTTTCACCTAGCCTCTTCGTGTACGATTTTATCGTAAGTCGTGCCCGAACTGCCGGCGGGATGCGCACGGGCCCCAGTATGGTGCATTCCTGGTGATCACCACTTTCCGCACGGGTTCGGTCATGCGAGTACCATTGTTGTCAAGCTCTTCTGGGGAATTTTTTCCGCTTCAATATTTGTTTCGTGCATGACAACCGTGGTGCCCTTCGGCGCTATCTTTCATCTCTCTGACAAAGAACTTGCACTCCCAAATGAACAGAAAAACCATGACATTTCAATGTTGAGACCCCCCACCTCCCTCCTGTCGTGCTGGTCTTCGATTGAGGGAAACCGCCAAAGGCGCTTCTTGAAAATCCATAACCATTCTCAGTAACGTAAGTATACGGGTTTTGGCACGGATCGGCGACACCGCACGGGTCGGGGTCTCGGCGCAGGGGGTGTGAAACCGGTTGCAAGTAATTTATTTGATTGTCGCGCAGTTTTCGTTCACTTTGCACAGGGGTGTGCGAAGACACCCATGCCTTCGATGAGGATGGGCGATTACCGTGGTATCCAGCACTTTCCGCGGGAAACTGCTGAACAACGAGAACTCGTATCATGGGTTCCGCTGCCGTGCTGTGGCCCCGTGACGTTGATCATGCGGGTAATGTCGTTTCATATTTCTGGAACATGTCTTGCTGTTCAATATCGCTTTCATTGTCGCAATCGGGAGAAGGTATCCACCCAATCAACCAAGAACGCGTACAAACCTCACGAGACCAAACGACCACAGCCAACTACTGCAGGTGGGTAGGATACCGGGATACAATACGTATACCCATCCAAGGAAGGGTGGAATACAAAATAATACATCCTCCATAGGCCACTACGTTCTTGCTCGTGGCTCAAAACCAAACCTTTCCTCTACCAGTCATAACCCGCTGCAATTACTGCATTCAACGCCATCATTTACCGGCAAACACAAAGAACGCCCGCCAAGTTGTGATTCGTTTGCTGCGACACGGTAAACACGAAAGTGCTGCTTTGTGTCCGTTTTGATTGTTCAGGATCACACATATCGGGTCTTGGCATGCGGGGGGGTGTTATAACAAACCACTGGCTGTGTTTGCCTATTTAAGTCGCACGGATCGGAGTTATCGCACGGGGTGTGCGTTACATGTTCAGGACCAGCAGTTAATTCATTTTCCGCACAGGTAGCGGGCACGTATCGACGTCTTGAACCCTGTGCGAAACACATCTTAGAACAAACGCAGTTGAAAACACCCCCCAGAGTGTGCCAAGACCAGCATACTTACGGTGACCATCAGCTGTGTGATGGAGTTTCTCCGCATGGTCTTTGGCTTCGTCTAACGCCAAAATAGTGTGCTTCAGCCGTCTGAGGGGCAATTGTTCGACTTTACATTAGGCTACGCTATAGAACTAACCAGCCTGGCCATTTGACCATGCTCTCTGCTCGCCCCTCTCTCGCCTGGGAAAAGATCGACGTCCTCATCGTCTATTCCCCGGAGGCCGCCTATGCACGGGGTATCGCTGAGGCGCAGCTGTTGACCAGGATTGTCGAGGGCATGGTGACCTTAAACCAGGCCATCACAAACTCAGGAATCGCGGGTTTAGAGTATCGTCTCGTCCAGGTGGCTGAGGTGAGGGGTGTGGCGTGCCGGGGGCACATACACGGAGTGGTGGCGAACATATTATTGTTGTGTTCAATTCTCCGTTGGCGTGGCATGTGGCGACCGATTGCAGGTCATGCAAATTTATTGACGAAAACGTACTGGCTCGTGCGCTTAGGTAGTTATGCTAAGGCACTTTGCGTGCCGTGACAATAAGTAAGCGGTCTGACGGGCCGAAAGCCGTCAGGTACGACACGTAGGGGCGCACCCTTGCGCCACAACTTTGGAGGGACCGCTCAAAGCGAGATATCGGAATGGGTCCTCATGCTCGTTTTACCCTTCCGGAATCTCGACACCTTGCAAATTTTATGGTGAGATTCTTTCGCTAGTCCTAAAGCAGGATATGTTCCCACCTAGGCGCGTTTGTGATTTGCGAAGACAACTGTGTGTGCCTACGTGTGAACGTCAATCGCGCTCCCGGTGTTGGTTGCGCGCAGTTGCCGTACAGCCAGATGACGTACGTGCCCAGCGACGACATCGACCTCAAGCCGGAGCTTGATGCTTTGGCTGCGAACAGCAACGTGACTGATCTGCGCGACCAATACCAAGGGGACCTGGTGCAGCTCGTCGGATACTTCCCGGGAACGTGTGGACTAGGGTAAGCACGGCATGACGCCGGATGCGATGATCCGGTGCGAGGACGTTGAATAGCATGCGGGGATTATCAAATTATTTCATATTTTACCTCTGTTCGCCCCGGTATACGCTGTTCTGGGAAAAAATGGTAGGGGGTATCCACGACCGGGGGTGTTCACCGTGGAGCCACAAAAGGTTTGTAATTTAGATACTCCCAGCATGTTATTCAAGACAATTTTGTTCAATTCAGCCGGGCTACCCTACGGTTGCGCCAACATCGGGCGACTTCGCGTGTAAGGCAACCGCCGTCAAGGTCTCGCGAGCATTTGTTCTACGAAGCACGGCGAATGCACCCAGACCCCGATACCTGATGCACCTAAACGTAAGAACGATGGTGGTGTGGTCGTCTCACGCGACATGGAAACGCATGTGTCTGGTCCGGCTCCACACCTCCCGCGCGCCCAACCGACCTGTCTGTGATTTTTTTTTAGGTATGTTTTCAACGGTGACGACGGGTCGGGCTTCTCCCTCGTGGACTCAAACTGCTTCGACAACTTCTCACACACCCACGAGATAGCTCACAACATGGGGTGCTACCACGACAAAGACAACTCCTACACGCAGCACGCCTACCGCCATGGTTGGCGGTACTGCGAGGGCACCGATCCGTGAGTATGTGTCACACCCTATTGGCGGGGTCCACAGGAAAAACCCTTCCGACGGGGCAAGCAATTTAGACACGTTTATAGAGATACTATCCCCGAACGCCCTTCATGGCTACTGGGGTCGAAAACTACACAAGCCCTGAACTTCGGGCGACGTTCAGGTGCACAAGTTCACGATAGAATCAACTTCAACAACGGAGGAACATTCCTCCTGGGATTTTCTTTGATTCGAATTTTCCGGGGGAACCATCGTGGCACGGTGCAATGAGTTTCGATACGCTCTAAAAAAATGCTGAGGATTCTTCTTGATCCTTATCTCCACGAAGCAACGCAAAGAAACCTGAGATGGAGGGGGGGGGGCTGTCTGCACACGCGAGCGCCCGCCGTCTCTCGATCCACGGCCCACCTATCGTAGGACGCACCTAGAGAGGAACTCCATAGCAGCACGACGTTTGCGCGCATATCGAGCGTAGACGATAATCGTTTTTGCGCACAAATCTTCAATTTTGAATGGATCGGGTGGAACAACCCTGTCGTTCCATTTATATTTTCGTTTGTTCTCCAGCGTCCTCGGATGTGTACCCAGCGCTTGTTCTGGTACGGGTCGAGGCTTTGCGGGTGTTCCACACTAGTCACAGGAAGAAAAAACAATCACGACAAACACTGATGGGCTGCTGGGAAACCGAATGGTCTGACCGCGAGAACATAGATTCCATCATCGTTAGACACCTGCCTGTATTGTACGTGCCCTGAACACCTTCATTTCCTACGCGATCTTTCGTCATGAACGAACCACCCTGGGTGTGGTGCCCACAGCTACCGCACCATCATGTCTTACTACCAAAACGGTTGCGGTGGAGACCCGACGCCCCAGTTAGACCCGATCGTGCCACGGGTAAACTACTTCTCCAATCCGAACGTGACCTACCTCAACAAGTCCACGGGCACCGCAGCCGCAGACAACGCTCGGTGCATCGAGGACAGCATGGTGAGAGTTGGACAGGCGACTCATTAGTACTACCCATATTTCGCCGGCTGCGGCAGAAACATCGTGCTCGTTATAGGCAATGTTTCCTTCTTACGAGGTGCAAGAAAAGAATGGGGCGATTGGAGGCCATGAAAACCTCGCTCAGGGCCGATGAATCACCGCTTGCCGTCAATGACGTGATCGGAACTTCCCTCTGATTGACGATGTTCGGCTTCTGCAACTACGCGATGCTCTACGGCTAATCGGTCGCGTGCGGTAACTTCTTTTTTGTTGCCCAGGTGGCTGTGTCCGAGTTCAGAGATGACGGAGACTTCGTCTGCTCCGATGATGGGGATGCGTGTACCGTAGATTCTGTGTGCTGCGTCGGCTTTTGCGGTTCTGCCGGGATTTGCGGTGAGCTGAGTAAATTGTTGCCGTCCTAGAATGTCTACCATCTCGCGGACCACAAAGGTAGTCGTTTTCGGGAAGAGGCAGGGTGGTTCTTTGCCAAATTTCCCGAACATTGCCGTCAGTTCGAAGCTCGTCTTCCGGCGCAGTTTTCCACCAGCGTGAGGTAACGAATTGTCACGAAGTCGTCCACATCGAAACAGTCATGCTTGCTTCTTACATCTTGAAATGATATTCAACGTGCTGATTGAAATTTATCTATGGTGCTGCTGGCCTCCCCCGCCGACGTATTTTTTGTTTTTTCGATTCTGGACGACACGCTTGTGTGGAAGAACTAGGATCTGAATCAGATCTTGCTCGTTTTTTCCTTTAGCAACCAATAGAGCTGAAAGGCATCTGAGCACTGGAAACGAGTTTTCTCGATTGTTTGAGTACGTTTGTTGAAACTATGCAATGGTTCCTGTTGCTCTGTGTGTAGTTTGGTGTTGTGGTCACAGCAAGTATTGCCTCAGGGACACTATTGATGTCGGTCGAAATATTTCGACTGTAGACAATGTTGGGGCAATCAATTCGGCTCGGACCCATGTTTGCGAAAGGAAACTGGACACATTCGCCTACTGCCCCATATGGTACGGTTTCACGCTTAAAGTTCATATCATATTTTGAAACTCATCAGGTAGCTCACTATGGAGAAGGCTGAAGGAATCAAGTCGGAGAGCGCCGTCAAAACAACGTGTTGAAAACTTGTCTCTCCTCAAAGGAATGAACCACCACATTACACCCGAATGTCGTGTTTTTTCATGAGGAGACACAATGCCTGTTCGTTCGTGCCGCCAACGCCGGCAAGGTCGTAGAATAGTTTTGTGCAAGGTGCTCGTTCTGAACCTATGACATTCTCCTTCCCCTCGCTATCCCTGGGTGGTCATCGCATCGAGCAGCCACAGAACAATGTGGAGGAGCGGGCGGAGACACGGCCACCATCGAAGATATGGTTTGCGACCGCGGTGAGACAAAGCTGTCGGTCAATTACTTGGTGGACAGCTACCATGGCGCATTGGCCCGATCCCAGATTTGTGGTGGGATTTGTGGTGAGATTTGTGGTGGTTTTCCTCCCGTCATCGGGGTTTGCAGCTTCAAGATGCCCCACACGCCAAAATCACTTCGGTTTTAGTGCGTTTTCGTGTTTCGTGTTTTCGTTTGGTACCTTTTCGTTCGAAATTGGATGTAGCCTGAGGTAGCAGCTGACCTCGGCGTTGTTTCGAAGCATTCGTGGTGTTTTTCGTGTTCGATTCTAAACCCTGGTGGGCTAAGGGTACAACAATACAATTCGACCCGGGCACCGATGCGATTTGTTCTCGGCCCTACACATCGTCGGCGAGTAGCGTAGAAGAAATTTGATAGTTTGGCGCCGAGAGAGCGGACAAGAACCATCGATGTTCTCCTCTGACAACCGGTGTACCATCAGGCCGCAGCCCTACACGCCCGGGCACTTAACAGGATCCATCGCGCGAAATTGTGTACTCACCGGATGCTTGTTGACTAATCGCTCGACAGAACTGCACGCGGACGTTACATAGTACAGTTGCCCAGATCATCACGATTCCTTGCCTTGTGCTAACTCAGCGTTTTGCCCTCCTCTTGCCGTGTGCTTTTCTGCAGAGAACAACGTCGAGGAATGCCAATACGACGGGGGCGAGTGAGTAAAACGCTACAGCAGTGCCTGAGAGCAACAACAGGGTTTGCGCAGCGCTTTCGCGTATCGTGCTCGGTGGCGGTTGTATGGTTGAGAGAAGGAGGTTGTCCTTCAGACGTGCGCCTTAGCAAGGATAGGGTTTGGTCGCGGAATGTATGTATTTGGTGGCTGTACCGTACGAATGCGTATGACCACTCGGTCACGAGTTGCTATAGGCAACGAGTTTTTGCCATCCAGGGACGCGCGACGGTGTTTAACGCCGCCGGTCGCAACAGGTCAAGGAAAGGAATGAGGGGCCAACACCGCCGTTTTGCGGGAATTTAGCAGCACAAAACACCAACGTGAAGATTCTCACACAGGAAGAAGCACGTTGCCCCGCATGCATGGTCAACCGTCAACCCACAACAACAAGCTATATCGAGAGCACCCCACGCCCGCACCCTCCACCCGGCGTCTTTTCTTGCATCGCTTCCACTGCCAGCTGCTGCGAATGTGACTGCTCATTCCAGGTGTGCGACGAAGACAACACCTGCGTTACCCCTACGTGGGACTGCGTAGGTGAGCCACGATTCCACGAATCTTTGTTGGCGACCTCGCGTACCGTGCGTAATGTGTATCGTTACAAGACGGGAAGTGTTCCTCACACTTCGCACCCACCTCACCCAGGCTGAGACTTACGGCGGCATACCTCGCGACCTGATGCTCGTGACCTGAATGGTTGAATCAGTACAGCTCTGCCTGCTTCGTGCAGGCTACACTACCGTACCGACGCCGATGTGCTCCATCTGCATCAACACTACAAAAGACGCTTTCCCCGTGCAAGGATGATTGATGCACAGTTGGTACGGGATATGTGCCTTTTCTCGCCGCTGGTATGAGTTGCTACCGCCATCACCCCACGGCGGTGATCGCTGCGTGTACGATATGACACGTGAAATTGCCGGAGGGTCAATTGGACCCGTGAACCGCACCACTGTAGTCGCCCTTGTGAGGCAAACATGGATGGATTTGTCGGTTTCAGGCCACAGGAAGGGTGTTGAAGCTTTTGATGTCCTTGTCAGCACCAACCGTAATCAATGTGATTCTTCTTTGCATACCATATTGGAAGTATCCTGGACATTCAATCTCCTATCGTGACGTGCATGGAAGACCATGGAAGACCATGGAGTTCCACGGAGGTTCCATGGCGCTAAGCAGAACATGCCACCACGGTGGCACCTACGGTTTGGCGTGGAAGGCCATAGAGTCCCGTTGAAAGCCATTGCTTGCCAAGGAATTCCACGGATCCCACGG